TTTTACAGGAAGTTCTGGCAGATGTCACACATTTTTTGCCCATTTCCTGATATTGGGAATGTCTCTTATAAGAAGCAGCTTCAATATCAAAGGAAGGTAATTTTAAAAATCAGTAATTATTTTTGTATATTTTTCATTTTTTTGTGTATTTTGTAGACAAGAACTTAATCATCTTTATACTCCTTTCCCCACTGACACCCTCTCACAGCCCCCCTCCCAATGGATTTCACGTACTCTGTTATTTATATTAAGGTCTATCCAGTCAAATTAGTGTCCCCATACATCCGTCAGTACAAGTTCATCCACGGTGGTCTAATCAGCCTATCTAGAGTCACTCCCTTAAAGATCAGCTCTACTCATGCAGCAGTAATCAGGTGCTCAACAGTTCTTCAGCTAAGATTGGGGCCTGCTGCACATTTCCACAGTTCTATGCTGGGTTTTTGTTTGTGAGTTTGAATGGGTCTATAATTCTGTAAGTTTTCAGCTGGAAATGAAGCATTATAGGTTTGGGAAAAGACGAGGACCACTAGAGAGCATCCTGAAGCAAGAAAAGAAATTTATTGGGATGTACTGTCATGCCATCTCCAGTGAAGCCTGCGTGAAATCCTCCGTGGGTTGAGGCTGGAACTTCAAGGAAGGGTGCTTATTGGAGTTGGCTGTGCTAAAAAACATGCAGTGTACTTGGCATGCTTTTACTTGCTATTATCTTTCTGACCGTCACTGTGTCATGGGTTTTCAGAGGCCCGGAAAGCACCTGGTGTCCTTGACACCACTGACACTGCCTTTATTGAAATCTTTTAATTATCCTAGTATGCAGCAAAAGTTCTCAGGAACTCAATCACCTGAGACAACTTTGCCTCCAGATGCATCACTATTAATTAAAGTCATTTTAGATGCAACAGGAAGTAGTTAAGCAGAATTAATGCTGGAAATTCCAGGGAAGAACTGATTTCTAGAAGAGAGACATGGATGGATAAATACCAATAAGCGTTTCTTGGTATTCATTAAATTCATGCATAAATTGGCAAGATCAAGACCACCTTGGTGTTTTTTTGACAAAAAATCAACAAGAGAGCATTAAAAGGCAACTACAGACTGTATTTGAAAGTTGGAAAAGATAGGAGGGAAGGATGGTTTCATAGGTCCCTAACATGGGATGATTTTTTAGGATCTAAGGGTCTAAGGGGTTAAGGAATATGACTTAGAAGCCCTATGGCCCACTACAAATAAGCAAGGAATGTTATCAAATAGTTAAAAATGTAATATCAGGCACAGCTGATATTGAAAGTACTTGGTGGTTTAAGGTCATTCTGACCTGAAATCACAAAACTAAGCGGAATTCTGAGTGCGTAATAAAAACTGGTAGTAGAAACAACAGTATCATAAAGCAGGAATTTGCTGGCTGGTACCAGGTTGATAGATAAGGAAATGTGTTTTGGCTATACATGATAGTTGGCAAAATTATTTCACTTTTACTGAAAATCTTAGAAAGTGACTAATTACAGAACAGTCATGCTGATGATGAAATTTTGCAATCTTTGCTGTATATATTTCAAACCTTGCAGCTGCAAAAACACACTCAGACTTTCACCAAGTTCTTGTGTGTCTGTCTGTCACCCGCGGAATCCTTGCCCACTCTCTCGAGGACCCTGTTCCCGTCGGACTGAACTGCTCCGATTTGGGCTGTTCCGTCGCAATGTACAACAAGCTGCTGGACTGCTCCCATAGGAGAAAGGGAACAGCGTTTTTTTTTTTTTTTCAACACAGCAGGCTGGATTTTATAGGATTTTTCTTTTGTGGGTGGGGGGAGGTGAGACTGTAGCAGAATGGTGAGTCAGCCAGTTCCTTGGTGGGGGGGTTCAGTTAGGTGTTTTTCAGTGTTTCAGTTGGCTGCAATGGAATATTGCTGTTATGATTAGGGTGCATTTTTAAAAAAAATAGGTGGTTACTAAGAAAATAGGATGGTTTAGTTTCTGTTTCCTGGAATGCTGTCCACAAGGTTGTGATCTCCATGTTGCTGGTCAGCAGTGACTCCATCATATCTTATAATATCTTAAAATTGTTTTTGCAATTTTTCATAGTTTTTATATTCTGGATTACTCCTTTCACATTTTCTGATACTCACCATAATGTTCAAACACATTTCATATACACTTAATCTTTCTCCTTAAGCCATTCATAAGACTAAACTAATAGTAGAGAAAAAATTAAGAACACACTAGAAGGCTTATCTTCTATTGAATTCTTATTTAAAATTTTCCTTCTTGTTGACAATTTTGTACTTGTAAATAAGGAAATATCATTACATGTTGTCCCTGTTTTTCCCTAAAGTGTTCTCCATAATTCCCCATATATTCACCCCAATCAACAACAAATTTTAAAAACAATTAACTAATTCCAGTTTGTGTTACCCTTATGGGCATGTGTGTGCCTCCTTCCAATGGATCTCTTTACTTCTTGACAGAAGAGTCAGTTCCCTGTGATGAAATATGACAAAAGAGATTTTAAAAACTTCTTGTAATTCATCAGTAAAGTACATTATATTTGTTCAAGTATCACCGAATAATATTAAAATGAAGTTGTCAAATTTCAAATTGAATGGGACTAGAGAGATGGCTCAGCAATTAAGACAACTTACTGTTTCTGCAGAGGACCTGAATTCAGTTCCCAGCATCCATGGTGGGTGACTCACAACCGACTGTACCTTCAGCTCTAGGGAATGATGCCCTTTTCTGGTCTCATGGGTGAGCACCTGCACTCAGATGTGAGCACACATAATTAAAAAATAGAAACAAATCTTTTAAAGAAAATCCGTCCAATCAACCTACTTCATGGATTTATTAAGCACTTTTTCAGGTACCTAATGTGAACACGATTTCTCCAGCAGCAGCCATTTCCTTACACATCATATAAAATAAAAGAACAATATACTTGATTGAAGCCCAAAAGTCTTACTGTGTTGGAATTCTTTTAAAATATTTTAAATAGTATTATTTTTTATTTTATGTGCTTAAGTGTACTGCCTGTATGTACCTGTGTGCCCATGTTGTGCAATACCCAGGGAGGTCAGAAGAGGGTGAAGGTGTTAGGTAGGCATGCCCTCTGAGGAAACTAGAACTGAGCCCTGAGAGACTTGGGGGTGGGGTGTCAGGAGAAATGCTGAGTGCACTGGGGAAGAAAGGGAGGAATAGTCACCGTTTTTGAATGGAATCACCCAGGTGGTGGACAGGGCATGTGCTGATGGCACAAATCTCAAATACGAGAGAGAAGAGCCCACTAGAGTTAGTTCATATCTTTGTAAGTAACCCTCTAGATTTTGATGGCAAGCCCGAATAAATATTCCTATTCCCCAAACTGTAACTTAAGAGGAATACTATGATGGTTTAGTTACAACCTTGCTCTCTGGAATCCCAGAGAGTGCACGGGTCTATCAGGGTAAAATTTGGTGCAACAAAATTGGCATAGTGTAGCTGCATAGACAAACTTCAGGACTCTGGGAAAAACAATGGGGACCATGGCCTTAGAAAGCATCGTGCTTCCAGCAGTGTCTGGTGAGCCTATCAGAGGGGGTCAAATTCCGAAATCCCGAAGGGTGGAGATGGGTGCCATGATGCGTCCAGTGTGGTAATGCCACTGATCCAGCGGGAACCCAGGAAAGGGTGTCGGCAATCC